GATTGCTTGGTTCTCTCTCTCCCTTTGCATCTTTTAATTGGGTGTCTGAGCTCATATCAGGTGTCTGAAGGAGGCTGTTTCTGAGGATCTGGGTGGTGATGGCTGCTGAAGCTTCTACTGCAGATTCGAAGGGCAACAGTTCTCAGGAGACACCCAACATTTCCATCCCTGGTAGGATATGACACTTGGCTCAAATGAGTGCATAGATCTGAAAAGAACTATGTTGTGGAATAGCTCTGTGGGGTTTATAAAATAACCTAAAAGTAGAGAGGCTACTTTGATCTCATCATTGGAGAAGAGATTTAGCAGATGGAATTTCATCCCTTCAGCAGCTATATGCTTTGTAGTAGTCCTTGAAACCCATTTTAGAGACACCTTTCTGTGTCACAAAACAATGAATTTTTCCTATGGAGAAAGAACTTCATGTTTAATATGTGTTTGCAATAAATTCACGCATATTTTTCTGACTGTATAAATAACAATCAGTGATTACTATCAACCCCATCAGGTGAAATATGCAGTTAGTTGGAAGGCACTGTGAGATTGTAATATGGATTCTTTCTGGGTAGCTGTGTTTTTATCCATTGTATGGTGAAATTTTGTAGAAGCCAAGAATTTTTGAAGTATTAGTTTAAAGGTTAAACAATTTATTATTTTGAAAAATAACAATTACATTAGAATTTGCCTTATTATAATGACACATAACCATGTTCTCTAAAATAACCAGATATTCTTAAATATCACTATGATTATTTTACCAGGTTGTAACTTTTTAGTTTTGAAATTCAGAAGGAAACACACATCAGTTTTCTATAATTATTTAGATACACCTCATTTCAAATGATTATTTTTATTTTGGCCATATGTAGTATGAACAACTTGGTAAAACATAGTGTCCATCTGCTAATATGAGAAGATTGTATTAGTGGAAATTGTTTTCCTAATTAATTCGATATCATCAAATGTCAAAAAATAAGTATATTTCAAATGCTTTATTGAGGTATGTTTGCTGTACAATACACTGGGTATGTTAATATTTAAAACCTTTTCTGCAGTAAGTTTTGACATATGTATTCATCAGTGAAACCAACACTAGTCAAGGTAATGAACATATTCATCACCCTAAAAAGCGTTTTAATGCCCCTTTGTAATGGTCCCACTTACCTATCTCCCTCCGGCCTCCCTGTTTCTCCTACCCCTCCCCATTTCCAGGTAAGCACTGATCTTCTGTCCCTGTAGATTAATTTGCATTTCTACAATTTTATGTAAATGTCATTATACAGTATGTATTTTGGCTTCTTACATTCAGCCTATTAATTTTTAGATTTATCCATATTGTTGCAGTGGTAGTACCATTTTCCTTTCTCATCAGTAGTATGGGAAAGTTATGAGAGTTCCATTCTCTACAACCTTGCAAACGCTTGATATGGTCACTCTTTTTAACTTTAGCCCTTCTCATGGGCATGTAGTAGTATCTCATTGTAGTTTTAATTTACCTTTCCCTAATGACTAATGTTGTCAAACACCTTTTCATATGATTACTTGCCATTTATATGTATTCTTTGGTAAAATGTCTGTTCCAATCATTTTCCCATTTATTTATTGGAGTGACTGTCTTCTTCTTACTGACTTTCTTTTTTTGAGACAGAGTCTCACTTTGTTGCCCAGGCTAGAGTGAGTACCATGGCGTCAGCCTAGCTCACAGCAACCTCAAACTCCTGGGCTCAAGCAATCCTGCTGCCTCAGCCTCCTGAGTAGCTGGGTCTACAGGCATGTGCCACCATGCCCGGCTAATTTTTTCTATATATATATTAGTTGGCCAATTAATTTCTTTCTATTTATAGTAGAGACGGGGTCTCGCTCTTGCTCAGGCTGGTTTCGAACTCCTGACCTCGAGTAATCCGCCCACCTCGGCTTCCCAGAGTGCTAAGATTACAGGCATGAGCCACCACGCCTGGCCTTACTGACTTTTAAATAAGTTTATATATTCCAGATATAAGTCTTTTCGTCAGATATATGATTTTCAAATATTTTTCCAAGTCATTGCCTTATCTTTCTATTCCCTCAATGGTGTCTTTTTTTTTTTTTTTTTTTTTGAGACGCAGTCTCACTTTGTTGCCCAGACTAGAGTGAGTGCCATGGTGTCAGCCTAGCTCACAGCAACCTCAAACTCCTGGACTCAAGCGATTCTACTGCCTCAGCCTCCCAAGTAGCTGGGACTACAGGCATGCGCCACCATGCCCGGCTAATTTTTTGTATATATATTTTTAGTTGGTCAAATAATTTCTATTTTTAGTAGAGACGGGGTCTCGCTCTTGCTCAGGCTGGTTTTGAACTCCTGACCTCGAGCAATCCGCCCGCCTCAGCCTCCCAGAGTGCTAGGATTAAAGGCGTGAGCCACCACGCCCAGCCTTCAGTGGTGTCTTTGGAAGAGCAGAACATTTTAATTTTGAGGAGGTACCATTTATAATTTGTTTCTTTAGGGTTAAGATATTTCTTAGTGTTATATCTAAGAAAGATTTACCTACCGACAGTCACAAGGATTTGCTCCTGTGTTTTTTGTAGAATTTTATACATTTAGGTTTTATGTTTAGGTCTCAGATTCAGTTTGAATTGACTTTTATATATGGTGTGATATGTGGGTCACAGTTTATTTTTGTGTATATGGATACCTACTTGTTCCAGAACCATTTGTTGAAAAGACTATCCTTTTTCCACTTAATTACCTTTGCATCTTTGTTGAAAATCAGTTGTACATACAGACATGAGTCTATTTCTGAATTCCTTATTCTGTTCCTTTGATCTACTTTTCTGCCTTGCTGCCAATAACACACTGTCTGGATTACTGTAGGTTTATAATGAGTATTGAAATCAACTAGTGGTTGTTTTCTTTGTTCTTTTTCAAAGTTGTTTTTCATAGTCTAAGTCTTTTGTATTTCTATCTGATTTTAGCATCAAGTTTGTCAATTTCTTTTAAAATTTGTAGAATATTTATTGGGATTACACTGAATCTGTATATTAGTTTGTGGAGAATTGATATCTTAACAATACTGAGTCTTCTGACCCATGAAAATAGTATATCCTCCACTTCTTTAGGTCTTCTTTAATTCTCTCAATGGTGTTTTGTAGTGTTTAGTGTACAGACATTCCACATCTGTGAAAAGATAATTCATAAATACTTCATACTTTTTGGTGCTACTGTCAATGCATTACTTCTTAAATAGAATTATTAATTATTATGTCTTTACTGAGCCATTAGCAACCACATTTTTAACAATAGCTATTGAAGAATCTTTTTGGTTAAAAACACAGGGTACTCTAAGATAGAAAAGGTAGTTCATGTTTAACACACCTGTGTGTGTATTTATATATCAGTTTTTAGACATCATTGACAATACATTGAAACTAGGGATAAAAATGTTCCAGAGACAAGTCTACAGGTTATCTCCTACAAAAGCAATCACTAAAAAAATACAGTATAGTAGCTTTCAACTGTTTGTGTATGCTATATTTGAATCTGTTAAAATGGGAAGTTGTACTTTTTTATCCCCAGTAAATCCACCTCAAAAATTCCTGGAATTTTGGATGATGAAAGAGAGAGGGGAGGAGAGCACATGTATGTATTTGAGTATGTGTGTATATATTAATCTGTATATTGCTGAAGCTGCCATGAATGTGAATTGTGAGATGTTCGTGAGGTTAATTACTGTGCATTATGTCAGACCTATTTATTTCTTAGCACATGTTAGTAATAAAGGGGTTGTTTGTTTTCTCCCAGCTTTCCCTGGCCAGCATAGTTACCATGGTGACTCTGACTACTGTGGGATTTGGTGCAGACTGAGCGTCCATTTATGATTTTTGCCTGAGTCACTCATGATAGTTGTGAAGTATTGCTTATGCAATTCTGATATTCCTTCCAAACTGATAAGTTGGCATTTGAGAATAGGATACAGTTTTCCTCTTCTCTTTTATTTATTCATTTACATATTTGTTCATGTATTTATATTGGTATCACTCAGAGATTCTCATTTTTCTCAGAGGATTACCCTGTGCTGCTATCATTTTATATAGATAGATAGATATAGATATAGATATAGATATAGACACACATTGTCTCAGAATTGGCCAGTGGGAGGACCTTGAAGTTGACCTCAGTGTACAATTGATACCTCCCTAAAATTCCTTGAGGCATATATGTACTGTGCTCTCTGAGCCTGACTATCTGTCCATCTGTAGAAAGGAAGTAATGATGCCTATCTCAGAGCATGGCTTTCAGCATTTGATGAGAAAAAGTCTGAGGCCAGGCATGGTAGCTCACACCTGTAATTCTAGCACTCTGGGAGGCTGAGGCGAGATTATCATTTGAGCTCAGGTGTTCCAGACCAGCCTGAGCAAGAGCGAGACCCTGTCTCTACCAAAAATAGAAAAAATTAGCTGGGCATGGTGGCGCATGCCTGTAGTCCCAGCTACCTGGGAGGCTGAGGCAGGAGGATTGCTTGAGCCCAGAAATTCAAGGTTGCTGTGAGCTGGGCTGATGTCACAGCACTCTAGCCCAGGCAACAGGAGTGAGACTCTGTCTCAAAGAAAAAAAAGAGAGAGAAAGAGAGAGAGAGAGAGAGAGAGAAAGTCTGAAAATAACAACCTGCATTGTATGGCATCTATAGGTCCTCAGCAAATGTCAGTTCTCCAAGTTTGCCTCCTTCATTCTGTCAATGGAGTGTTCTGATATTAACATAATAACATGACTACCAAAGAGAATACTTGGAAATGTTATAGCAAGCTGGGATAAGCTCACATTTCCATTATGTGCAACCTTCAGTGTCATTGCTGTTGGGGGGAGAGGTTGTGGGATGGAGCTGGGAGAGAGGAGAAGCATCATCACAGCTTCCTGTTAACTGAGTGGAGATAGGCAAGACGTCATCACCCATGTGTGCATTTCCCATCCTTTTACTTTCCTCTCTATTTCATATGATTTCTTATCCCCTTATTCTCCCTTCTAGTGTAACATCAGAGAAGGATGTACACTCTGTGCCCCAGAACCAGAAGCTCATAGAGAAGAACCAAGTGTGATGTAGAATCTGCTAGACAGGCTACTAGAACAAGAGTGAACAGATCAGGGCCCTGTCATTGCCACATGTTAAGTAAGTTACTTCCCTTCCACCAGCCTCATCTACACAACAGGATAACAATACCCAATCCTCCTGACTGCCAAGAATCCTCCTGACCTCTGGAAATTAAGTGTGATCTTCTGTCAGAAAGCAATCTGTGGTCTCAGGTGGGAGGGAAGGCTCAGTGGACTTTAGAGTAATTACATGAACAGAGACACTCCATTTGTCCTAGAGGTCTACATGATAGGCATTAAATTAATGGTACACAAATGCGAGCTGCTTTCATCGGAATTTTTCTAAGTGTGATCTATGGACTTCATGAAAGTTGTTGGGAGGCGCTTGTTAAAATAGCAGATACTTGGGACCACCCTAGATCTGCTGAATTAAAACCAAGGAGGTAGGGTGGGAGGTGTCTACATTTTGAATAATTTCTCCAGTTGGTTTTGGTACTCATCCCCATTTGAAAAGTGCTGCTATGGATTTGTCACAAGGTCCACTAAAATTTTGAATCCTTTGATGTCTAATTTCATTGTTGATTATTCCTGCTACTCAGCTTTTAATATCTATGTCTTCTCTAATGTATCAAACAGGTAACAATTCCTTCAATTCAGTAATATTTAATCAGTGATTTTTATATGAGGCTCTGAACTAGGCACTGGGGAAACAACACAGAGAAAAAGAAAGATAGGGTCCCTGGAGATATCACCCTAGTTTGAGAAAACTGGTAATAAGCAAGTAAACAAATCAATCACCAGGGCAATTTCATATGGAGATTTGTGCTTCGAAGAAAATAAACAGAGTAGAAAATGACCAGGACAGGGATTATTATAAATGGGGTTGTCAGTGAAGCTCTTTCTCAGGAAGTCACACTTCAGCTGAGTCCTAAATGGCAAGGAGAAGCCAGGCATGGACAGACCATTGTGTCAATGTGCCTGTGATGTTTGTGTGGGCACCAGTTGTTCCAGGAGCAGAGGACAAGCTGTGACTGGAGACTGGCACATAAATGCAGACAGGTGTGAGGTAAAGTCTAAAGGGCGGGCAGGAGCCACATGATTGTGCCATGTAAGGAGTTTGAGTTTTCTTCTGAGTGTGGAGGCAGAGTCAAGGATGACCCCTTGGCTTTTTATCGGCCACATGGAGAAATGGTGGTGCTGTTTTATGAGATCAGTCATTCCAGCTGTGTTTTAGATATTCTAAAGTTAATTAGTTAGGCCATTCAACAGTAGTTGTTGTGAAAATTAGAAATTTTAAAAATGCAGTTTCATGAATAGGCTTCAGCTATTAGAGTAATCAGCTTTATGAATGACAGATGCAAAATATAAAACTATCAAAATGTAAAAAATGCCAGGCTCAGTGGCTCATGCCTGTCATTCCAGCACTTTGGGAGGTCAAGGAGGTAGGATTGCTTGAGCCCAGGAGTTTGAGACCAGACTGGGCAACATACTGAGTCCCCATCTCTACAAAAAAAAAAATTAGCCAGGCATGGTGGCGCACACCTGTAGTGCCAGCTACTTGGGAGGCTGAGGTGGATGGATGGCTTCGGCGCAGGAGTTTGAGGTTACAGTGAACTATTATCATGCACTGTACTCCAGTCTGGGTGACAGACCAAGACCCTGTCTCTTATAATAAAAAAAAAACTGTAAAAATCTCAGCTTGCTAGTATTTATAAAACAGCTCATGGTGATTGATCTTTTACTGTGTCTCTAGCACTCTTCTAAGAGTTTTCATTGGTTATTCTAAGAAACTATAGGAAAGCTTAAACTTTTCCTCTGAAGGTTTCATAATTGAGTCATCCTGCTGAAATAAACTGACAATAGATTACCAGGAGCAAAGCCATACAAATATATTAATGTGCCCATAGACAAGGAAGTCCCAAAAATATCAGACTCAAAAAAAGGTCAAATGGTTGAGGCTTAAATACCCTCTTCATAGGGTGCAGGGAAATGCAGCGGGGCAGGCAATTTTGAGGGGTAGTAAATGATTTTGTGGGAAAATGAATGAGCCCAAAGAACAAATTATGGCCTAGGATAAAGTTCTTCTGAGCTCTGGGGGAGGTGGTGGGAAGGTGAGGGGCAGAATTTTACTGTAAACAAAGGTAGTCTTATTACCAGATAAAGCCCTCCAGGTAATGTTTTGGAACCACCCTCAGAAGAATAAATGAGAATTCTGTTCCAACATGGTGATGACTTTTAGTCTTTTCTTCTCTCTGGTGTTTAATCTTTCTTGGTTATTTGTTGAGATTCCTAGGAAGGGGGTCTTAAGACAATTGCATTTGTTTTGGAAGAAGTTTTCCTCAGATAAGGAAATTCCAGAGGGAACCTCTCCCTGCACTTGGGAGGAGAGAGAGAAACAAGAAGTTAGAAACTCCTTGGTTCTGAGGCAGATTCTAATATTTTCTAATTTCTTTTAATTCAAAGGTGTTCAGCATGCCAAACCACCATATTCTATGAGACCCAACATAATTCTCAAAGCAACAAGTCATGAAGTAGGGATAATTTCCTCATTTTATAGAAAGGTTCTTGCACTCTCCCAAGATCACAGAGAGCCACCTATCTCAATGGCTCTGCAGGAGAAGTTCTTATATAATGGGATTTCTGCTCATTTATCCTTGTACAAACCAACACACAAGCAATATTTATTTAAAAACATCTTGTCTTCTAGGGCTGCAGTTCCTAATCCCCAGGCCGTGGACCAGTACCAGTCGGTGGCCTGTTAGTCACTGGGCCACAGAGGTCCACAGCCCCCCAACCTGTCCTGTGGAAAAATTATCTTCTGTGAAACTTAGGAAGAGCTGCACAGCAGGAGGTGAGTGGTGGGCAAATAAGCTTTACCTGTATTTACAGCTGCTCCCCATCACTTGCATCACCGCCTGAGCTCCGCCTCCCCGGCTGCACCACCACCACCACCAACCCTCCCCAACCGCCCCCCCCCAAGTCCATGCAAAATTGTCTTCCATGAAACCGGTCCCTGGTGCCAGAAAGTTGGGGACTGCTGTTCTAGGGTAAGTACTGCATAATCCCAGTTTTACAGATAAGGCATTTGAAAGACTTTAAGGTGAAGTCAAACTATTCAAATTCACACCATTTGTAAGAAGTAGGGCTTATCCCTATTCTGTCTGCAGAGCCCACACTCCTAACCAGTATACTTAGAAAGAAGAACAAGACATTTGTTAAACTATATAAACACATGGTGGTTGATGTTAGGCAGGGTCTTATGTCTTTGGGGAGAAAACTATCCTTCAGTAGCCTTTGTGCCATGTACCAGATGGTATTTAAGAAACACAAAAAAGTAATAAAAATAAATACAAAAGGGTAAGGCCAATGAGATGTGATGATTTACCCAAGGTCAACTAGAGTTAGTGGGTTAGGGCTGGCACTATGGCCTGGGTATGTCTCCTGTCTCACTTCCAGTTGCCTGACCATCAGACATGGCATTAGCCTTGTTCCTATGTGTAGTAAATGACTTTTCATGGAATTATATGATACCTGCTTCTTTGAGGTAATATGAGAGGACACTAAGTACCATCAAATAAAAGGAAATGGGGTATAGATTTTCCTCTCCTTCCCCAAACTCTATTGGGAGGTTAGAAGAATCATACAACATGCACTCTTTGGATTCTGGCTCATTTCAATCAGCATAATATGTGTGTGATTTACATTTTCCTTTCTATAGCTTCAGATTGTCATTCTCATTGGTATATAGTATTATATCATATGAGTATTTCCCAATATATGTATCCATTGTGGAGATTTGGGCATTCTCCACTTTTTGACTTATTATAAATAATGGTGCTATGAACATTATTATTTACATCTTCTGGATAGACATTTATTTTTTAAAAATCTTTTATTAGTATGTAATACTTACATATTTATGGGCTACATGTGTTTGTTATATACATAGAATGTGCAATGATCAAGTCAGGGTACTTAGGGTATCTATCACCTTAAGTACTTATTTTTATGTGTTGGTATCATTTCAAGTCTTCTCTTCTACTTTGAAATATATAAAATATTGTTGCTAAGTGTAGTCACTAGTCTGCTATCAAACAATAGAACTTATTTATTCTCTGTAACTGTATGTTTGTACCCATTAATCAACCTTTCTTCATCTCCCTGTCCCACCATTCTATTCTCTATGTCCATGAGATCAAGTTTTTCTTTTTTTTTTTTTTTGAGACAGAGTCTCACTTTGTTGCCCAGGCTAGAGTGAGTGCCGTGGCATCAGCCTAGCTCACAGCAACCTCAAACTCCTGGGCTCAAGCGATCCTCCTGCCTCAGCCTCCCAAGTAGCTGGGACTACAGGCATGTGCCACCATGCCCGGCTAATTTTTTCTATATATATATTAGTTGGCCAATTAATTTCTTTCTATTTATAGTAGAGACGGGGTCTCGCTCTTGCTCAGGCTGGTTTTGAACTCCTGACCTGGAGCAATCCGCCCGCCTCGGCCTCCCAGAGTGCTAGGATTACACATGAGATCAAGTTTTTGTTGTTTTTTTTTTTAACTCCCAAACCTGAATAAGAACATGCGGTATTTGTCTTTCTTTGGCTTATCTCACATAACATAATAACCTCCAATTCCAGCCATGTGGCTGTAAATGACATGATTTCATTATTTTTTATGGCTGAATAGGATTCCATTGTGTATATATACCCCACATTTTCTTTATCCATTCATTCATTGGTGGACACTTAGGTTGATTCCATATCATTGCTGTTGTGAATAGGGCTGTAATAAACATGTGAATGCAGGTATCCCTTTGATATACTGATTTCCTTTCCTTTGGATATGTACCCAGTAGTGGGATTGCTGGATCACATAGTAGCTCTAGTTTTAGTTTTTTAGAGAAATGTCCATATGGTTTTTCATAGTGGCTATACTAATTTACATTCCCACTAACAGTTCATAAGAGTTCCATTTTTCTACATCCTTGCCAGCATTGTTTATTTTTTGTCCTTTTATTAATAATAATAGCCATTCTGACTGGGGTGAGATAATATCTCATTGTGGTTTTGATTTGCATTTCTCTGATGCTTAGTGATATTGAGCATTTTTTAATATACCTGTTGGCCATTTGTATGTCTTCTTTGAGAAATGTCTATTCATGTCCTTAGCCAATTTTTTATGGGATTATTTGTTAGGTTGAGTTTTTTGAATATTAATCCCTTGTCAGATGAGTCATTGCCAATATTTTCTCCTATTCGAGACATTATCCCCTCACTTTGTTGATTGTTTCTTTTCCTGTGCAGAAGCTTTTTAGTATAGTCCCATTTGTCTATGTTTTGGTTGCCTGTGCTTTTGAGGTCTTAGCAATAAAATCTTTGCCTAGACTACACCAATGTCCTGAAGAGTTTTTCCTATGTTTTCTTTGAGCAGTTTTCTAGTTTTGGGTCTAATGTTTAATTCTTTAATCCACCTTGAGTTGATTTTCTTATATGGTGAGAGACAGGGGTTGAGTTTCATTCTTCTGCATATGGTTATCAAGTTTTCCCAATACCATTTATTGAAAAGGGTGTCCTTTCCCCAATGTATGTTCTTGATAGCTTTGTTGAAGATAAGTTCACTATAGACATGTGGATTTATTTTGGTTTTTTAAAATTCTGTTCCATTGGCCTATGTGTCTTTTTCTATACCAATATCATGCTATTTTGGTTACTATAGCCTTTTTATATGTTTTGAAGTCAGGTAATGTGATGCCTCCATCTTTGTTCTTTTTGCTCAGGATTGCTTTGGCTATTTTGGTTCTTTTTTCCATAAATTCAAAATTCCATATGAATTTTGAACTCTTTAGAGTTTTCTTTTTTATTTTTTTAGAGACAGTCTCACTTTGTTGCCCAGGCTAGAGTGAGTGCCGGGGCGTCAGCCTAACTCACAGCAACCTCAATCTCCTGGGCTCAAGCGATCCTACCTCCTCAGCCTCCCAAGTACCTGGGACTACAGGCATGCGCCACCATGCCCGACTAATTTTTTGTATGTGTATTTTTAGTTGGTCAATTAATTTCTTTCTACTTTTAGTAGAGACGGGGTCTCGCTCAGGCTGGTTTCGAACTCCTGACCTCGAGCAAGCCACCCGCCTCAGCCTCCCAGAGTGCTAGGATTACAGGCATAGGCCACCACGCCCAGCCATAGAGTTTTCTTTCTTGTTTCTGTGAAAAATGACATTGGTGTTTTGATAGGGATTGCAATGACTCTGTAGATTGTTTTGGGTAGTATGGTTATTTTAATGATATTAATTCTTCTGATCCATGAGCATGGGATGTCTTTCCATTGGTTTGTGTCCTCTTCAATTTCTTTCACCAGTGCTCTGTAATTTTCCTTGTAGAGATCTTTCACCTCCTTGGTCAAATTTATTCCTAGGGATTTTATTTTTTTGTAGCTATTTTAAATGGGATTTCCTTCTTGATGTCTTTTTGACTATTTTATTATTAGTGTACAGAAATACCACTGATTTTTGTATGTTGATTTTATATACTACAACTTTACTGAATTGGTTTATCAGTTCTGCGTTTTTTGATGGAGTCTTTTGTTTTCTCTAAATATAAGATCATGTTGTCTGCCACAGGGAAAATTTAACTTCTTCTTTTCCAATTTGCATGCCTTTCATTCTTTTCTCTTGCTTAATTGCTCTGGCTAAAATTTCTGGTACTGGCCGGGGGCGGTGGCTCATGCCTGTAATCCTAACTCTTTGTGAGGCCAAGGTGGGCAGATCGCTCAAGGTCAGGAGTTCGAAACCAGCCTGAGCAGGAGGGAGACCCTGTCTCTACTATAAATAGAGAGAAATTAATTGGCCAACTAATACATATAGAAAAAATTAGCCGGGCATGGTGGCATATGCCTATAGTCCCAGCTACTTGGGAGGCTGAGACAGTAGGATAGCTTGAGCCCAGAAGATTGAGGTTCTGTGAGCTAGGCCGATGCCATGGCACTCACTTTAGCCTGGGCAACAAACCGAGACTCTGTCTCAAAAAATAAAAAAAAATAAAAAAATAAAATTTCTGGTACTATGTTGAATAGGAGTGGTGAAAGTGCGCATCCTTATCTTATTCCAGTTCTTAGAAGAAAAGTTTTCAGCTTTTCCCTGTTCAGTATGATGTTACTTATAAGTTTCTCATATAGAGTCTTTATTATTTTGAGGTAATGTTTATTCTATTCCTAATTTGTTGAGAGTTTTTGTTATAAAGTGGTATTGAATTTCATCAAATGCTTTTTCTGTGTTAAATTAGATGATCATATGGTTTTTATCTTTCATTCTGTTGATGTGAAGTATTGTGTTTATTGAATTGTGTATGTTGAACCATGCACACATCCCTTGTGTAAATCCCACTTGATCATGGTGTATTATCTTTTTGATGTGCTGTTGGGTTTGGTTTGCTAGTATTTTGTTGAGGATTTTTGTATCTGTGTTCATCAGTGATATCAGCCTGTAGATTTCTTTTGTTGTTGTTGTGTCCTTGTCTGGTCTTGGTATAAGGGTAATGCTGGCCTCATAGAATGAGTTAGGGAGAAATCCCTCCTCTTCAAATGTTTGTAATAGTTTGGGTGGGATTAGTGTTACTTCTTCTGTATACATTTGGTAGAATCCACAGTGAAGCAATTTGATCCTGGGATTTTCTTTGTTGGAAGACTTTTTATTACTGATTCTATCTCACCACTCATTCTTGGTCCATTTAGGTGTTCTATATCTTCCTGATTTAATCTTGGTAGTTTGTATGTTTCCAGGACTTTATTCATCTCCTCTAGGTTTTCTAGTTTTTAGCATATAGTTGTTCATAATAGTCTCTGATGACCTTCTGTTTTG